GGTGGAAGCAGAGATTGTCAACAGGGGTGACTTGGAAGGAAATCAGTGGTAAAACTCATATTCATTTCAATATGGCCCACAGCCACCCCTACACAAAGAGACGGTGAATGATTGAACTTGCAGACAGTGCAGAAAGGGATGCACCTGCTGAAAATATCTGAAGAATAAAGTGTGGCAATGGGGTAGAATAGAGAAGAGGAAAGCAAAGGTGTCCTCCTCTTCCTTGCATGATCTGTAACACTGGTAATGACAAAATCTTGGGCTTGTTGCAAATAACTTCTCTCTGTCCTACCTGCACTGTTGGTACAACACTGCTCCCTGTTTCATTCATCAGCTGTCTGTTCAGCAGTGGTTTAAGCGTCTAACTCAGCTTGCCTAAATAATATATGCAAAAAACCCCAAGAATCCAGAATAAAAGGTACTGAGAAATCAAAATATAGAATTATTATTGTGCAGTTGTTTTGCAGACACATCCACCGACAGTCAGGATAGAAGTCCCTGTAATAATAATCTTTCATTTTCTCTACAAAGAGACTCCTGCATTAGCACTTGGTCCTGGATGAGGACAGAGCTTTGAAAGCCAAGTTTCCACAATTAGGACTGCTTTTTACTCAAATTAGCAGCTATACAATTTCATCACAGGCTGCCATGGTGGAAAAAACTGTAGGCTTATGGACAAACATTTCCTTTTACCAGCAAGGACTTGGAGGTAAGAGAAATCACAAGGAGCATCATGTGGGAAAAGCTATGAGCAAACTTTCTCTTTTTACTTTTCCAATTTGGGAGCCAAACTCAACCCTGATGTAACTCCACTGGCTGAACGGCGTTACACAGGGGATGACTCCTGGGTTGAAGTTTTTGGTCTGCAGACTCTTGCACACAAATCCTACAAACAGCCATGAATGTCAAAACTAATTATGGAATCACATTTACAGGCTTATGAGAATCTAAGCCAGATCCTTACACCTTATGCAGCCACTGACATCAAGACAAAAATCGGCGTAAATTGGTTCAAAACACTATTAATTAGGAACGATAGCATATCTGACACCTTATACACTGGTGCACATGACTCCCCAAAGTGCAGGGTAATGGAAAATCTAGACTTCTCTGTTTTCTAATAAGCCAAGTACTGGGGAAATTCCAGTTTATGAAGTTCAGAGCGCAGGAGGAATTCATTCCTACAGCATGATATTTCAGTGAAGTGGATTAAAAATCTAGAGATTACTAGTGAAAAACAGACACTTCTCTTCAGGGCCAGCACCAGTTCAGTGGGCAACTCAAAACCAGTAAAAATCTGTCATTCCTTTCAGTAAAGATCAGCTGTTTTCAGGCTAAATTGTATCTCCTTACTTGTAATTCAGAATTGGTGCTCACCCCTCCAAGGCACTGAAACTCTCCAGCAAGCGATTATCAAGCCCAGCCATCTAGATCTGGGACACCATCCTGACCAAAATATTTGCTTGCTAAGAATGAGATAGCATCAGATTAATGGAAATTAATGCAGTCACCTCAATGAAAACTTGGAAGAGCAGATGCATTCAAAGTTTTCTGTCCAAGCAGAATTTGCTGCAGAGCCCTATTACAATAACTGTTTACATCCTGCCTACGCATATCAAACAGGAGGCGCATGAATGGATGCTTAGCGACAGCAGATGAACGCATCTAATAGATGCAGCCAGGAAATGAAGAGAGTTTTCTTTTTCTCACTTGTTTTCACTTGTTTTGTTGGCTCTATTATTATATTATTACATGTTATTATATGCGCATGCGACATTTTTCATGGTTTTTGGGTTGGTTTTTTTTTAATGGGAGAATGGAGAATGGTAAGTATTCCAATCCTGTGTGTCGTAGCTACAAGAAGAAATGTTGGTTCTTGATATATTTGGTTATTAGAGATGTTTAGAAACTCAACCAGCTGCTGCAGTTTAGACTTAAACACATCTTGGCAAATTTACGTGCAGGTAAATGACTCTCTAGAGTAATATAGCAGACATCAATTGAACACACTAAGTAGGTAAGGACGGTCTGTCAGGAAGAAGATTTTACTTCTGTGCACAGTTCATGTAGTTACTCTTGCCAAGGTGTGAGGACACAGGATAGCCAGCCCCAAATTTACAAGAACTATGAGCCAGCATTACTCTCTCTCCCCACATCCACATAATTAATCATGTAATTCCTAGAACTGAGGCCCTAAGAGAAAAGCACTTCATACTGTGGCACCTCTGACAAAGTTGCATCTAAGCAAGGAAGAGGTACATGGTCTTTATTTCCATGCTTCATCTCCCTGCAACCACAGACCTCTCAGGACCCCACCCACAGGTACAGCCACCCCAGTATGCTATTTTTAAACACAAGGCTAAATTTCCTGTTCCTGACTTTCATTAAATGGATGTGGTTGCCTATGCACAGCCCTAGAGAATCAAAGGGACAGAAAAGGAACTTGGGTGACAGTGAGTGTGCCTACAGTAGCACTGGAATTTGGATCAGGAGCCAGCTTTTGAAGTGAAACTCTTCATCTTCCCCACTTACAGCACTCTGAACAGTCACGGAGCATGGAAGCTGGACCCCATTTTGCCTAAAACCAGAGTGGAGATGTGCTCCAAGACCACACCTGATGTGCTCCTACTGTTGATGCCACGGGTCCAGGCTAGAGCTAAGCTGAAACAACCCCTCCAAAACCCCTACGGTGTTGACGTCAGGGCTTCATTAACAACTGTTTTGCGCTAGAGATCTACTTATATTGGGCCACAATACTTGTTAATGTAGCCAGAGCCATTCATCCTTTTAAGACCCTTTTACAGTGTCAAAACAGCATGGAAGGGGCCTCTGTGCGTTAGAAACCAGGCCCAAGGCACTCGGCAGCTGAGTATCAGTCTTCTGTTTTTTGACATGAATGGTCCCATTGAAGTGAATGAGTTTATTCATTCAAAAGTGAGGCAAGTAAAATTTGGGCCATGGTGTGCACTTTGTGTAAAAATATCTGCAAAGATTTACAGTATTCCCACACACAGATAAGATTATACTTGGCCAATTTTACCTCCTACTTGTCTTGCACAGTGACCCAATTTTCCAAATTGATACAGGCACGTATCTCTAACTGAGCAGTGCTGGACGCAACGGTACTGGAATTTCAGCTCGAGCTTTTCCAGTATTAGTCACTATACTAGTACTATCATGCTTGTTTTGATTAATAGATGAGAAACTTGGGCATGCTCTAGACAGGATCATTTATATATTTCCCTGACATTTTTAAATGGTCACAACAACATTTCCCTATCTGTTAGTGTTGGGAATCTCTTTTTAACAAGGAATTGGACTCAAAGTATTGGAGGCTGTCTCTTTAAATTTCTTCAGTAATACTGAGCACACAGATCTGAAAACCCAAAGGACATTTTTTTGCTAGAAAATCACTATTTATTTAACATATGATAACTCTGTTATGAAATTTTAGATTTAGCAGGGTATCCACTGTATGTTATTTAAGAAGCAACTAACTAGGGGTTATTAAGAACATATTGATTGAGTTATAAGAAATATGTAATAAAGACATATTTGGTTACATAACAATTAACTCTGCATCAGTGTGTTTTAAGAGGCAGATGGTATTTATTTAACACACAATATGTATCTTCTGAAATCTAAATTAAATTGGAGAAACTTAATTTACTTAAAAATTACTATGGGCTAAAAAATTCTGAATTCATTTTCAGAACTTCATAAAAGTCCTTTTCACACGTAGGGAATAAAAGGATTCAGTTGCAAAACTGCAATTAAAGCAAACACTGTTCAGAGCACAAGACCTCTCTTTATCAACTCCTAATATGATTTGATTGCATTCCCCATATTAATCTGCAATAAAGGTGGAAAATCTCATCTGAGCAGAAAATAACAGCTATCTGCCTACTCAGATAAAGTGCAAGCTGGCCACTGGAGTGACCATGGTGTCCTAGCAGTGTTGGAAGGAGTTTCATCCCTGATGGAGGCAGTGGCTTTCAAGGTGCTCTCACTGAACAAAGCAGCAGTGCTGAGACAGCTCTTTGGGTGCTAATATGCTTGTAAATTCGGCCTCCGGTGCTCTGTACTGCTACAGTCCTGAAGGACACGCAAAGTTTGTTCTCTATAAATTAACAAAGCAAAAAGTAGAGAAGAAATACAAACAGGGAAGGTGAGTTAACGGGAATGTGAGAAGGTCAATCATTTAGGAAGTTGTTTGCTAGGACTCCTATAGCTCCTGTGGCTCATCCAAGCACTGCACAAAAATATTTAGATGAACTACCCAGTTGCTCAGGTCATCTTGGGGTAGAGTTCCTCCAGCTATGAACTGCAAAATGGTGCAACTCTTGTCCAGAGCTCTGTATTCTTTTAATTGTTATTGATACCCCATAGCTGCATGCCTGTCAGACACAAACACACACACATTCTCTGACCTACATGTTCTACTCAGGGTGCACCAAAAAGACACTTGCAAAAAACTCAGGGTTTTAGGTCTTTGGTTCTGCCTTGCTCAGCTCCTATGTCAGACCTGCACCATTTGTCCCTCTCTCTGGCCCTGCCACCTCCTTGCCCTGGGAGACACCACTGCCCGTGAGCTCTGTGTTGTCATGGGAGTAGAAAAAAAATTCACCTTGTCCTTGCAAAAGAAATGTGAGAGAGGAGGAGGGGGAACACGCAGGCAGAGCTGAAGCCCACAGGTATTCATGAGGAGTAATAACAGCAGCCATTATCGTTGATAGAATATTCCTCCCATAACATATGGAAAAAGATTTGCCCTTTACATGGCAAATCAATGGCCCTCAACTGAGTGCTACAGGCTGAGAAAGGAAGAGCAGAAAACAGATCAATAACCTCCTCAATATGAACCAATTTAGGAAAGAGCCTTAACCCAGGCTGAGCACAGCACGTGATAAAGCTGCACTCATGCAGCTCAGCCCTGGGTTGTTCCCCTGTTTCTCCCCTTTCCATTCAATTCAGTGCAGTACGGAGCAGTGCAGGATCACCTTTCAAAGAAGTGACCATCAATGGGTGGAAACCACTCCAGGGTGACAGAGGTGGAGGTCCGAGCCACGATCTGGGGGGCAATTGCAATAGGAGCCGGTTTCTTTGCAGGTTGCCAGCTCTGATAGACAAGGTCCAAGTAGCAGTGCATCCTGGCCACTTGGTTTGGGGTGAAGGAGTCGGTGCAGTCATCATCTAAAATGAAAAGAGAAACCACATCAGCCTCGTGGGAGATAAGGTGGGAGCAAGAGAGAAAATGACAACACAGTGAATGGCAGCTTCTTGCAAGGGCCGGGATGGGCTCTTGCAGCACTCAAAAGTTAATTGTCTGTGAACAAATTAGTGCAGTCATCACTTGTGGAGGCAGGTGAAAGGAAACAAAAGTTAAAAAGAAAACAAAACAAAAAGTCAATAAACATTCTCTCCCTCTGATTGGGGATGCATATGAAGCACCTAGAGATCATCCCTAGGTGAGACAGAGACACATGGAAGTGAAGAAAGAGAACTCTTCAGTGCAGAACCTTCTAGTCAGAACAGGGGCTACCAGTGGACCTCTCGGCTTGAAAGAATTTCATGTGTAAAAGAATATGTCTGAGAGAGGATAAAATGGCAAAGGACAGCTAACATTAGGATAAAACACTGACTGAGATTCATGCAAACTGTACGCAATAGACTTTGACAGATTTCTCAGATTAAAAGAACAGAGAATTTTAAAATACCTATTTTTTAAAGGTCTTCAGTTTTCTAATGAACAAATAAAAAGTGTTCTGAAAGATCAATTTAAAAGAAAATCATTACAAACTAATGAAAAAGGTAAATTTTTGGTGCAGTAAAATAACTTTACTTCTATTAAAAAGCTCCCCCATTATCATTATGATTCAAATCCCTTTCTGAACTTCTCATAAGTATTTTTGATATTTCAAATTTCTTTTTCATTCAAAATGGAGAAATAATTTTGCTAGACAATTTCCAAAAAATATCCATTTCTCTTTTCATCCGTTTTCCTCAAACATGATTTGGCAATAAGAACACATCCAGTGCCCTCTGAACACCACACAACTTTACAATTACAATGCCCTGGAGAAGTAGAAAAATCCTATTTCTCTCTTATGAAGATCACAGAAGGAATAAATATGTTGTGCAAAGTCACTCAGAAAAGCTCTGCTGAAGAACTCATTGCTAGCACTTTAACCATTTTTCTGGTACTCTTCCCATCAGATGAAAAGCTCTTGCAAACACGGAGTGTTTCTTCACATGTGCCTGCAGAGTTCCCAGCCCAGTGAAGCTCAGTCCCAGATGGGACCTCTGCACGCTGCCGCGATACAAACAACAATGCTAGTTTTGCACAGGTCAAGTAATACACTTCTCTGGGAAGATGCAGGTCACTGGAGGCTGCTCAGAGTCACTCGCCTGTGTCTAGGTTGGCAGTTCAATATTGTAATAGCATTACTAGATGCTCTAGTGTCTGCAAGTCCATGCTCTGTGGAACTCAAGAGGAATGAAAAAATATGAATTCATTCTAAAGAGAAGTGTGAATTTGCTGCCTAATTTAAAACCTTACCACATCTTCCCTGAAATACAAGCAAAAGGAGACAGCTTCAGCTGGGATCCTGCTCAAATTACAGCCCTGAACGCTGTCCTACCACAATAAGGACATGTCAGTTCACATGTTCTCCTGTGTCTCTCCTAATTCCACCCAGCAGTGAACCTCCTCTCACCAAACACACACAGCAGACAGACAGACACCACCAGCTTGGAAATATCTGCATGCCCACAGGGATTTGTAAAAAGCTGCTTTAATATGACATCTCTGGATTTTCTCAATGATTATCAGGGGTCTATCCCTGAGCTTGCTGTAAAAGCCATAAATATTCTTCACGGAAGCCCAAAAGGAGACAAAGGCCCTTAATAGCCATCATAAAGGAACAATAAAATATATATAGGACAAAGAAGTGAGACGATGGCACAGGAGAAAGATGACCTGCATTCTCAATCTGTTTAAACATCAGCAAAAGCTGTGTCCTGGGGGAGGGCGAGGAAGGAGAGGTGAGGGAGAAAGATATTTCACTTGATCTCTTGATTTCAAGACTGATTTGAGATCTTCAGATGAAGTAATAATCAGGGAAATTCAAAAGGCTCTGCTGCGATGATTATTCCAACAGAATTCAGAGACAGAATTCCTGCTATGAAGAGTCATTTAAAAGACTAACTTATCTTTTTTATTTGGGAATACCACAGCTGTTCAGACTCGTAAAAATAATTTACAAGTCCAATTTCTCACACTTCTCGATCTTCTGGACATTGTAACTTGTTATTTCAGGGGAAAAAAGTTACACTTTAAGTCAATGCTTTGCTATAGAGCTGAGGATAACTGGACAGATGGATGTTAGACAGACATAATACGATCAAAGCTGTATACAAACAGCAAAACAGAAAGAAAGGCAATGTTTAGAGCTGTGTGACCTCAACCTACATGTTTCAAAGGTATTTCTACAGCAATTTGATATCCTGATATATTTTTATTCCACTGGCAACAACAGAAAAGCAAATAGATTCATGCATGAGCTCTAGAGATACCTATCATGTCGCTTCACTTAATTTTTCAAGGCAAAAATAAAAGGTTTCTGCTTGGAACATCAGCACATATGTAGCTCCCAAGAGAAGATAGGTATCTCTGTGGTCTGCCCCTCTATCTCAGCTCTTGAGAGAATTGGCAAGGTAAGTTCTCTTTGGAAGAAGAGACCTCAGCGTTTTGCAACACGCAGGTTCCACCCCTTGTCACATCCACACAAACAGATTTGGTGGAGATATATTGTCATCTGAAGCAGCACTGACTTATTTGTGTGATGTTACCTGGAGACTGTATTGGGCAGTAAGACTCTGCCCTACCACACTCACCAAAGTGCTCAATATGCTGAGGAGCTGACTCAGTGTGTGTGTGCTTGTCCCTGAAAACACCCTCTAAACAAATAGAAAAATAAAGACAGAACTAAGCATCACTTTTAGCTGGTGCCATGAAGGGCATAAAAGCATTTCTGTTATAAATCATTTCAATCTGTGCCCCAGATGACATTAAACACTTTTCTTCTCTACAGTTTTATTACAGAATAAGCACTCCTGTGACCTTTTGAGTGGGCAATCTATGTTTTTTGCCTGGATATAAAGGTGCCCTTCAGTGGCTGAAAGTATCTTGGTCACCTTTAAAATGTTGTTGGTGCTGTCAGCTCAATGCCACAGACCATCATCACGGCTAGACCCTCTGACCTAAAATAAGGGAAACACAAGCCAAGGTATCCCCTGTTCTTTCTGGGAAATAACAGAGGATCCTTCAACTGCCCTTGAACTTCCAGGGGTGCAGCGAGGATCTCACCCCACCCTTGTCCAGTGGGCAAAGGTCACAGGAGCTCATGCCCTCTTTGTATTACACTCTGTTGGTAGGAGTGCAACAAACCAGTACCCCTGTGCTTAAAGAAGCCTGCAGAGTAATAACTACAAAATCAGGCTGTTGCTTAAGCATCTGATTTCTTTTGGAGAGGTGATTTTACTGCACGGCTATGGAGCCTTTGCAGTTGCACTTCTAGCACAGGCCAGCACAGCACACTGGAAGTCTTTGACCTGAAGAGCAATCTTGATCCAGGTATGATCCTAATATTCACATTCTGATGATGAAACTCAGATGCGAGTGATTGTAGCTGAACCATGGTGACTCCAAATCGAACACTGAATGTGGCATTTGAATAGACACAAGGAGGCATGAGCAGTGTATCATTAGATGTCTACCTATCACAGGTTCATTACACAGCCTTGGTGGTATCAATATTCATCTGACATTCAATATGTCCTCGAGGGAGGGTAAACAATCTCTGAATTTGGGTTTTTCAAAGACCTCATAGATCAGGCATCAACATCCCAGGAAAACAGGGTGTCAAATTTGCTGTAGAGCCTTTAGAAGATATTTTCTTAATGCTTATCCCATTTCTTCCCTCCCCCAAACCTTCTGCCTGGTCATGACATGAAGCTAGGTAAAGTTAAGGAAATCTGTGAAAAAAGAACAGAAGAACTTGAAGGGATTCCTGAGGCCATCAAGTTCAGCCCCTCATCAAGTCTGGCCCTAGATCAACGGTCACATATGTCAGCATAACGACCCGCATGAAATGGACTGTAGAAAACAGAGGTAATGCTGCTATTCTTCGTTCTTGCCCAATTAAAGTCACCAACAGCAAACCAAAGAAACCCAAGTACCTGCATAGCTCATGAAGTTACTGAACGGCGTGTTTAGGAAACTGTGAAAACCACATGTGTCATTGCCAGGCCCAGGATCTCCACACAGCTTGTGCTTGGGAGCAGGGTTGGTGTCACTGCAGAGGTCCCCGGTCTCGAAGGAGGGCTCAGTTTCCATGCACGGATCGCTGCAGGAGAGGATCTCAGAGATTCCCCGGAAGACGTGATAGAGCCCCAGGCTATGCCCAATTTCATGGATCATTGTGTGTGTGTGGCCAGGGATTCCGTAGAAGGAGGGATTCAGCACAATGCCACCTGCAAAGGGAAAAGAGAAAGAGCTGCGTTTGCCTTGTCTTCCTCAGAACAGCAAGAGAAAGGGAAAGGAAGACAATCCCAAGGGCAGATCCACTGGTAATCATCAGATCCTCTATGGCACAGACTGGTTTTGGGCAATCAGACATGTTGCCTGCTCAGAGAAACTGCACAGGAAGGTTTAATCTCACCCTTAATCTGGAGCTTGAAGGATGAGGAATCACAGGACAAAATCCAACATCCTAAACCAAAAACACAGCAACAATTGTTCTTTCCACAGAACTTGGTCACTTTGGTTGGTTTGTTAACTTAAAGAAAAATCCCACATGCAATTGCCTTGTACTCTGCAATTTCAAATCATTTAGTGTGCTTAAATAGAATGATTCTGTCTAGATAAGTGTAAGCAAAGTGTTTGATACCAAGAGTCAAACAAAACATACCTGGAGCACTTTGTTGTTCCACAAAGATATAATAGAAGCATATTAACTTCTGAAACACCTTAAAAATTACAGTAGGTTGCACCAGTATTTGCAAACTAATAGCTGGACAAAGCAAACAGAACAGACTCCAGGCTGGAAGAGTTTTTGTGGGGTGTGCTCTGATCATATCGACAGCTTTGACGTAACTGTCAGAAACACACTCTGTTCGTGCACTTGCACAAGCCGAGTTTGATCCAAACTGCACAGTCCACTAATGAATATGCATAAGTTTTATGTGTCAAAAAATATGAAATCCTGGAATATTGAGATATCTATATCTATAT